TGTGGACTCGTATGTGCTCGAACGATCTGCAACAGTATTGATTGATCGATAAGTTCGAAAAAATTTTCTTCAGATGATGAGAATTTTTTGGAAATTCTCAAAAATTCCCGAAATTCCAGTGATTTTTTTAAACCGAATGATCTGATATCATAAAATTAACGGCTTGGATTCGTTGCTTTCTTTTTTTTTAGTACAATCTCTGCACTGGTGGCTTCCGCAGGCGGGTGGCCCCATTGTAATTTCTTATCAGTCGGAGTAGCGACGGGGAAAATATTTCCGGAAAATATAAATCACCATCCAGATAGGTCTCTACCTAAGATTCTCAACTGCGTATCTCATATTTGCCGAGTTGATGTGTTTTTTCCTCCAAAAATGTGCGCTATTTTCCATCTGATTAGTAATTTTTGCTTATTTTTTGAAGATGGAAACGAAAATTTCTCGATCGCAGTTAGTTGCTTCATCAGAAGAACCACAAAATTTTTATTAAGATTGCGAACAAGTTCCGTTACCAGTGTCGGATCGTCGAGTTTGAAGTGCACTCTCGAGACGCTGTTTATTCTCTTGATCCAGTAAATTCAAACGTCCTGAAAGTTGTCGTTGTTATTTATATGAAAACGGGACTAAGAGATTTAAAATTTTTTTGAAAATTCTAAAATTCCTTATCATCCTCCATGCACCTTAACATCTTACGAGTCTGATTTCAACATTCAATTTGCTGCTGCAATAGTCCTGTTTCCTATCAAAAACAGTGAAATAAATCAGGTGTTAGCTAGGGAATTTAGAAACTTGAGGCGATCGATCTCTCAGAAGTTGATCGATCACACTTCAGTCATCGGATGATTGCGAGATCACTGATTTTGAATTACTATTCATGAAATTCACGTCTTACGACCTATGTTGCTAAATGTTTTCATGTTTCTGGAGCCTTTTTGCTTTGAAAAACTGCATTTTTTAATGGTGCAAGCAGCTGGATTAAAGAAATTGCTTGTTTTCTCATTTAGACGGCTTTTTAGTCGCAAAAATTTTCGACAATACTCTTAGGATCATCACTTCAAGTGATCACTTTGCCACTTGTTTTAGCTCTAGTAGAATTTTAGCCCTAGTGCGGCGCCCTTAATTGGACGCGGCAATTTGCCGCCGCTAGTTATTCCGCGAACGTCCGCCGCCGAAATCTCTATGGAGCAATTTCAGCTTCAGTTTCACTTACGTTTCAGTTCATCGATCTCGTGTTTGGCGTCCTGAAGTTCGCGCTCGAGTCTGCGCACTTTTTCGATCTCATCCTTGAGCGCCAGACGTGCCTTGTCCTCGTTCTCGTGCAGCGTTTTGTTCTCGGCCAAAAGCTTCTCGATGTCGATTTCCAGGCGTCGAACACGCTCTTTGCTTTGATCCAACTCCACTTCAACTTTTTGTTTTGAACTGAAATTTTTCACACCCACTTCAGTGGCTTCAGTCATACGGAACACACAAATAAAATAAAATTACCCACTAAACACAAGACGTTACAATTGGCTGTCGTTCGCTAAAATTTACTCAACAACACACTACTTCACTGGCTTGATTCATCGATTAAAACCGTTCGCCTTATAAATGAAGAGCAAAATTTCCAGCAATTCATCCCTCCAGTTTACGCAAATGAAATCCCATTTTCTAATTGTAAGCTCTCGTCTCCTCAATACGAGAATTCCACCGATACGCTTACAAATATATCAAAAAAATGCATTTGACTGTCATCAATTAAGATTACTCC